AAAAGCCAAAAACTATGGTTTTTATCATTAAATGAAGATATAGCCTGAAGATGCTTTGCGGCACAACCAGGTTTCATTCGCTCTGGCCCCTGGGAAGTTGCCCCCTTTGCCCCCCCCCCTCCTGTCGGCGGGCCTTTTGGCTGTCATAAATCACTTTTAGCTTACTCTGAAAGGGTGTGATGCACCTTTAACCCATTGACTGCTGATTTGCCTTATTAGCACCTCCAGCAGTTGAATGCATGTATGCCGTACAGGGTGTGCAACTTGCAAAAATCCTGCAGGTGTTTAGAGCAGCTGCAGTCAATGTATTAAAGCCATAAAACTAAATGAATCCAGATTTGAAAAGTCTGTCAGCTTTGGCTCTAAGAATAATTAGCATGTAGTTGTCTGTTACAATATGTCAGTTATTTTAGAAAGAAAGAAAAAAGGGTAATTTTAGATTTATCTTGTATTTTCAAGTTTTTATTTTATCCTACATTGCTGACTTTCCTACTGTTACTGTTGGGTAAAATATAAAGTTTTACTGAAAAAACAATTTTTATTCTTAACAAGAAAGTTACCTTGCACTTAGACTGAGTAAATTCACAAACAAATCTTTAGTAAAACTACTTTTTTTAAAAAAAATTTGAATTTTTGTGTACAACAGACTTGTAATGTGTATTAAAAGCTTGCCAAATTTTGTGAAGATACACTAAATACATACAAAGTTATAATGTATATGGTTTCATTTTGGTGTTTATGAGATTGGTCAAAATTACCAATTTCATACAGAGAGTTAAAGCTTCCAGTTATATCATCTGTTCAACCATCACATACCTCAAACAGTTAGAGGTGGATGAAACATATTCTAATGATATTCCATTTGAGTATATAAATGTATATATGAGTCAAGTCACAGGTTGCATTGCCAATGGGTTTCTGTATGATTGGACTTGAAATTGGCAATGAGAAACCACTAGATGGATTAGGGAAAGCCTACAAGGAGGAGTGGTGAGCTTTGGATGTGAAAGTCTTACAATAGAGTCTGTTGCAATTCAAATTGTGTTGCATAACTATTGTAAAAATGCACAGTCATCATATGGAGTATTGGTCATGGCAACATAAAATGAATGATGGTGAGGCTCCAAAACTGTTTTAATATAATGTATTCAATCTCTTTGTTGTTTTTTTTAATTTAACATGGGTATTAAATTCATGTTATTCTTAATGTAGCTCCTGTGGCTTTTGCTACGACTATGTTTACTTGGAACTGAAATGAGCGTCCTTGTTTTTACTCTAACTTTTGGTAAGATCAATCTTTGTACTACTGCTTTATATTGAAAGATGATACAGTTTAGTGTTATGGAACATTTAAATACAACTACGTGCACAAGAAAATATTTATCTCAGACTGAAACTTATGCACGTGTTGATTTCATTTGTTGGGAAAATGTATATGTAATGAGGAAATTGAGCTTAAATTGATATTCTGAAGTTTGGTTGTATTAAGACTGACATTGTTTATTGGTTTGTACATTGGAAAAATATTTACTTGTTAAATTTTTTCATTATTTGACAAGATAAACCAGGTATATATAATAATACTAAACATTCTTTCTTACTTTTTTCAGCAGATGGTTTTAACTGCAATGGTTATTTATCTTTTTCTGGATATTTTAGTGAGTAGAAATAAGGACAAATTGGAAACTATCATTTCTCGTAAACCTTTCTCTGTAATAATTCTGCCACATCAACAACCTTGTCGTATTAAATTTAAGAAAAACCTGAGTTTTTTACTCTTATGTGGATAGAACACTAAAATTATGTTGTAAACAGGATGATATCTATAATGAGTTATTGTTAATTAAGCACATAGCACTGGAAAGAGGTTTTAATCCAGATGTTGTTGACACAGCTGTCAAAAAACTAAAAAATAGGGATAAAAATATTGTAATTACCTTAATAAGATTGATAATTCTATAAGATTTAATTATGAACTTGAGACAAATTTCATTTGTTATATGTTTGTCATGTGAAATTTATGTCCCAGGATTCATGAGAACATTTCTATAATACTACTGGGAATAGTATGACTGCCTATACCTTGCTGATATGTCACTGTCTGATTGGTTGAATGACAGTCAGTCACAGTATATACTATTAATATTTGTCTGTACTGTGATGAAACACAATAGAAGGAGAGAAATCTCATAGTATTTGCATTTGATATCCATTTTATTCACTGTTTCAATAACTATTTCCAATATGTTACTAAAATTATTCAAGAAAACAATAAAAGCCATTTCCCTTTTAATTTTATTTTAAAATGAGCAAAGTTCCCAAAGTTTAGTGATGAAACTAGGATGTTATAACACACATTTGGTATCTTTCCTAAAACTTCATTATCTCAATACAATTGATGTGTATTTTGATCTCGTGTGAACTAGACTAACTTTCAGGTTCAGCCACAAGTAATGTTACTGTGATATTTAAAGAGTACTTTAATAGGAATTTCTTACCATGGCTTAAAGACCTATGTTATGATATGCAGCCATGTGCACAACTTTGGTTTTGAAAGTGTGTTAGTGGGTGGGGGACAGTTTCTGTAACTGGGGTATGCAAGAGGGTATTCTACCTTTTAAAAAGTGTGGGGGACATGTTCCCAGTCCCTCATGCTAAAACACCTGTGCATTGTTACCATATTCAGACTATAATAAAACAAATGTAAATTGTGTCTCGATTGTTTGTTTTGAATACCGATGAAGATGTTCTGTTTTGATTAAAGGTTATGTTAATTTTTTTTAAATCTGGTTATTTTTTAAAAGTAAGCTCTTATATACATTTTTATTTATCTTTGGTATTTAAGAGTACAAGTACTCGCAAGTGCAAGTAAAAACTATTGTTATTGATGTTTGAAGCAGTAAAACATATATAAACCTTGTTTTTAGAACTCTGGATTATGATAAAATCTTTGTTGCAAGGACTTAAAATTAAGTTAATAATTTATGTCTGAAATATTACTGTTTTTTTATAATTTTTATTTGTTTTGGTGGTATGTAGTAAACAGTATCTCTCATAAAATAAATAACTAAATATTAAAATGTTTTTTAAACTATTCTAATGGATTGTACTTTCTGGAGCATTTAAGACGCATTTTTAATGATTTAATGATTAACATTTGTGTTTCAGTATAGTACAGAAATAATTGATGTGAGAACTACAGATACCATTAGTATTTAGTCATACGACACTTATGTTTTTAAATCATTATGCTATCTAGGTCAGCTGGACCAAAAAAGAAGCATAAGATGGGTTCTTGGTATTGCCTCTTCTATTTCAGTAGTATATTCTGTCACACAGGTAAACATTAATTGGTATTCGTTTCAGTATTGGAAATTGATAAACATGCTGTATTTTATTTATGTATGTTTGAAAACTGTAGTTGTAGGTACTGTATAAGGTAAGCATTCTAGAGGTCAAATGAGTAGTTTTCTTCAAAGATGTTAGGTAATGCCCCACTGGGAGGAAATGTGATTGATTGATTGGTTTTCTGTAAGAGCACATGTTTTATGATGTATTTGATTTTCAGTGTTGAAGTAGGCTTTCAGTTTTATAAGAAAAATAATGTTTTGTTTATAGTTTATATAAATAAGAAAGATAAAATTAATTGGGATTACTTGTACTATATCCATGCTAAAACAGAAATTCTTGATGACTCTCTGTGGGATTATGAATATTTCATAACTTTGATATCAAATACATTATACCATGTTGAATGCATCCTGTAAAAGGTCATGGCATGTGCACTTTGACCTCCACTCATGCACATAAGGTTAAAGTTAAGTGAGGTAGATGATATTTTTATCCCATGAACTATGATTTTTCTGCCAGTAAACATAATTTACCTACTTTTGGTGATACAGACAAGTGAGGACTGGCAGTTTATTTCAATATTTACATTTGAGATTAAAATATCAAAACTTATATAATATTAAAATTTGAATGTAAATGTGTAAACACAAGGTTGTGACATGTGCACTTTGACCTACATGAATTCAGAAGACTTGCCAGTTAAAACTGATCAATTGTTTTTTTTTATTAATTAATGTGCTTCAGAATAATAGAGATACTTAACATTATATTATTGTTGTATGAATAAGATTAACTAAATGTTAATTAAAAATATAGAATACGTTTGAGAAATTTCTATTAAATGTTACAGACTACCTTGGAATTAATGAAACCGGAAGAGCTTTTCTACATTCCAGATGAAAACTATAAGCTTTTCAGTCATGGTGGATTAGTGTTTTGGTTTGTTAGTTCTGTTTTATTTTTCTTGGTAAGTTAAATTCATTGAAATAAGAGACCTATAAAAAACTTTTACAGTTACAATATGATCATATATGATTTATAGGCCATATTTTTAAATATACATTAGTTGAAATCTAGTTAACATAAAATATTATATTGAGGGAAATTAACTGATATGCATTTTCTCTTTGGGATCTTTATCTTATATAACTAGAATAGCTAATTCATGGTAAGGAATATTTTTAGTAGTTTTGTATATATATACACACAAACATACAAATTAAAGTTAATTTAATGAGAAGTTTGCTGTTTTGTGCAGAGTTAATGGAAATGATTAGATACTTTTCAATAAAAACAATTTTTATAATGAGTAAAGTGTCTAGTTAGTCAGAATTACATTCATCAACCAAATGTACCTAAAGTATTGGCTCACTCTGAAACAATATTAAATTACAGTAAATTAAAAGTCTGCTATAAATCAGGGAACTAGAAGTTACAAATAGCAATGTGTAGGACAATTATTACAATCATGACCAAAGAAAGAAAATTAAATGAATGTTAACGATTTTTGAATTCCAAAAATGTTGAAAATGTTTATGCTTTTGTATTTTGTCTTCCAATCTTAAGGTGTTGATGAGCAGTCTATCTGTATGATGTGATGCCTTTTTGAATTTTCTAATATTTGAATATACCTTAAAGCTATTAGATGAGCTTTGAAATGATATGAATAGCATTTAAGTAAAAAAACAAAATCCAATCTGTGAAAAGAATTAAACTTGAAATTCAATTCCACTTTTACTTATTTCCTGAGCTGATAATACATGTAGAGAACATTATTGATGGTCTGATAATTTTGCAGCTTTAATTCAAGTGTATCTTCTTTGTTTTTGTTGGCCAAAAAATATAAACATACTGAATTTTCTGCTCTTTAAGCTGTTAAGCCTAATTTGGGAATATCAGAGTCCATGTATTTTCATCTAAGAAATGAAAATGTCAATTAATTTACAGTGTTTCAGATTTTACTATGACATATGTGGTTATTTCTTCCAATTTGTTATTTAAGTTGGCTATGAGAAAGCCTTGAAAAACATTTTTATCTCTCTGTCTCTGACTATTAGTGGTTAGGGTTAGTTGTCAAGTTGTGGATCGAAGGGTCCTGGGATTGAGATGTAATGCATCTGCAATTTCAGCTGTTGGTGTATTATAAAGGTGGCATTAAATCCCATTATTAGGTTCAAAATAGTCATCAAAGCCCATATAGTGGCAGGCGCTGCTGCCTGGATGCCTTCTTTTTGGTCAGTAGCTCAAAATTATGGATGGCTTTACCTGAATCTTATGGGTCTGTGACCCGGGTATTTAGCTCACATATGTATAAGGTATGCTTAGCTTGAAAATTTCAATTTAATTTTGGAATATAAAAATGATTAACTTTGGAAGATCAATCCAGCAGGTTTGACCTTAATAATGGTTGTTCATACCTTGTTCTTCTATTTTCCTATTTATGGCCATTATTTGGGTATTTTTATAATTGGTTGAACTCAGCACCGGATCCATGGATGTGTGGGAGGCCTTGCCTGTCCAGTGTAGACCCTGTGCCCCTTCCAGTTTCAGATTCCAAATTAATAGGAAAAAAATTATGACAAATACAACTCAAAAATTAATATGAAATTCAGTTGAACTTAAACATAATTATAGTAATGATAATAATAACTAGTTCAGACTTAAAGGGTTATATTAATGCCTTAATAATAATACTATCAATAGCTAAAAAAATAAATAAAGAGATAGTGGGAAATTACATTTCTGTGAATGTTACTTAATAATGCACTTTTGTATGATTAATAATGTACAATACCGGGTAATAATAGTGAATACACATTAATTTATTTCAGTTACCCTTTCCAATATATGCTCTTCCCTCGACATTAGTAAAACGTTTTATAAACACTAAAAACTGATGTATATAAGACCATTTTTTCTTGTACATTATGTTTTTTCATAATTTGAGTATTTTCCTTTTTTATTATAACATCATTAACTTTGGAGCCCCTTCAGCAGTAAGTCTACAGGCTTATGATGCTAAAATTTGAGTTGATATACCCATGGTGAGAAGAGCATAGATAGCTCATTTTGTAACTTTGTGCATAACAAGAAACAAAGCAATTAACTTCAGATCAAACCAAAGTTACCTTCATAGATCAAATTCATCCTGTAATCAATATAGTTAATTTAATATATTGTTCTAACTAAGACTATGCAGAATCATAGACCTAAAACTTATAATTATTAGAACATATTGATTGATCAGATGCATTCTTAGATTGTCTCGAAATTAATAGAGTTTGACTTTTTTTTAATACCCAGCTGAGAACACTTATGACAGTTACATAGAGAGAATTTTTTACTCATAGATAAGATTTTTATTGGAAACAGTATGGGAAAGTTGAGAAGTAGTATAAATTATTTCATTTGCAAGTTAAAAAGAAAATATATACCATAATTTTAGAACTTTTTTAAAATAAGAATCAGTAAATTGGACTGTTTATTATGTAAATAAAATAAACACAATAACAATATTTTGATATTTGTGTTTTCACGTGTCTGATCAAAGCTTTAACGCATATTAAAATATTTATTAACATATATCTCTTTATGTGACAGGTTTACACGGTGATACTTATTCTGAAGTGGACACCTGTGGGACGCAAACTGCCTTTACCCGGTAATAATTCCATGAATTTATTGTGATGACCTTTGACCTTTTTTCTACAAGGTTAACTAGAATAACCAGTTGGACCCTGCACCCCATCATCTTTTTAAACACATTTTACTGAAAAGCTACTTCAGCCCCAAACTGCTCGTGGGTCCATGACTTAGTTGGTTAGAGGGTTCCTAATAATATACGAGTCACACAAAAAATGTAAACAAAACTTTGATCAGTATCGCAGCTAATCCCATTAATTATAGCTGGGATTCCCTGTGTATTTTATTTAGAAAATGAGTGGTTTCACCTAACTTTGTGGGTTTTTTTTTATATATATATACAATAAGAATTTGTAATAGACATAAATATAAAATTATTCAATATGTTGTAATATATGTGGTTCCCATAAGTAGTTAACACTATAAAAACAAGCTGATGATTAGGTTATGAACTGTGTATTGTCTTATTTTGTTGTTATTTTATACATCTAGTGTTAAATGTATAAACACCTTCTGTCCATACAGCGAAACAACACTTTTATTGGTACACACTCTTCCTTTCTTTGATGAATTTTTTTCAAGCTGTTGGTTGTGGATTGTTTTACAATAAACTCTACAATGGATTATGGTGAGTTTTTATCAAACTTTTAATAATGAATTAAACATTGACTCTTTAAAATTCATAAAAGACTTGAATAAAAAAGAAAGCAGTGACTGTTTGTTTGATTTTATCATCACTAATTTCTGATCAGAGCAAGTTCCCTACATAGATCAAAATGAAAAATAAACCTGGTATTGAGTATAGCTAATTAGATATACTTTTCTTATGTTTTTACTCTCGCTGTTAATAATATATTTGTTGGTAAATCTAATAATAGTATCTATAAGGCTGTTAATCCTATGTGCACTGGTGGGTGTCAAAGTACACATTTAATGACACTTTACAGAGTGCCATTGAAGATGATATGTATTTGATGTCAGAGCTATCAACTATTCATTTGATGCTGTATTGCTGATTTAAAGATACTGAAACAAATTGTAGATATGCATATTGGAGGTTCTAGAGGTTATGCAAGTGCAATGTTTAACTGTACAATGAACAAAAGTATTTTTGTACTTCACATCAACATCACCTTGCACTCATTGTCTGAGTCAGACTGACATCATCAATTCACAGACATATCTTGTGTACAAATATTTTTGCTAACACTTTTGATTTTTTTGGTTACAACAAACTTGTAATTTTTACTCAAAGCTTGTCCCATTTCATGAAAACAAAAACTGTAATTTTCGAATTATTGTAAATATTCCTTCTTCAATAGAGGATTGGTCCAGTGTACTACCCTTGGGCACATTTGGTTAACAATAATCATTTGGAATGGAACAGATAATAGGTCTGATTAAATATTGTTCTCTTAACATCAGATTTGGGTATTCTTTTTGTATCAGGTAGTAAATCTGGCCATACATATTGAAAATATGCCACAGGCGTGAGCTACTACTACTTAGTGAATATAAACACTACATTATCCTTGTGTGTATATATACAGGCGTGAGCTACTACTACTTCATCGTGGTAAAGTATTAGACTAGTAACTTTTTTTCAGTATTTGGTAAGGATATACACAGGGATGTACAGTTCTGCATGAATGAGTGGCCTTTACCATAAGATTCTCCAATGTTTTGGCTAGGAATCAGTTCATCTTATTAAGATTCTACAGGGTTTTGGCTAGGGAACAATCTTCATAAGATTCTACAAGGTTTTTTTTTAGTTTGGAAACATATACTCTAAAGCATTACAGAATAGACACTTCACAAAATTTTAAATTAAAAGGAAAAATTACTTCTGAGTGATTGATGATGTAAAACACAAGTTGTCTCTCGTACATGTACTTAAAGATGCCGAGTATGACATAGTGGTATTTAAGTCGCATGCCATTGTTAACACCTGATGTGCTCTGTTTTACACTCAACATAATTTCATATGTTTAAGATGAGCTTAAATTTGACACGTAGTTTCAGGTGGTAAGTGTAAAGACACTAAGTACGTCTCAGTATTTATATTCATATATGTTTTCAACTTGATCTCAATGTAAAAATCAATATATTAAATTGTAGTTAAAAGAAAAGAAACTGAGGCAAAAGTTAAAGTTATTCAGATATCATAGTATTTCATGGTAGGCCTACTTTTAAATTTCATCATAACTCCAAAAATAACTTTCATATATTGATAGATTCCAGATTGGTGACTGATGCATTCCAATCTTACAAACTGTTATATGTTATTCAGTAACTGATGTAAAATATAAATAACAAATAATAGAAACTTGAAAATATTTTGTTTCAGAATTTTGCGCAAAGCTACACGAGGGCTATCTGCGCTAGCCATCCCTTATTTAGCAGTGTAAGACTAGAGGGAAGGCAGCTAGTCATCACCACCCACCGCCAACTCTAGGGCTACTCTTTTACCAACGAATAGTGGGATTGACCGTCACATTATAATGCCCCCACGGCTGAAAGGGCGAGCATGTTTGGTGTGACGGGGATTTGAACCCGCGACTCTCAGATTGTGAGTCGAGCGCCCTAACCACCTGGCCATGCCAGGCCTGAAAATATTTAAAAAAACTACCGACAAAAAATTGGTTTACATTTGACCAAATAGATTTTATTAAGGTTGAGGACTTATGTCTGTTTTATTCTAGTGTCAGTAGGTATACTATTTTTTGTGTGATTACTTGACTTTACAGTATATATATATATATATATGTATTTCTTTATATGCAATTGAAGGCACACTAGAGCTGTTAGTTGTTATGTCTTATGCAGTATGTCTTCAGTTACAGAAAAATGAACAAATTAATCCTTTGTGCTCAGTAGTGTTGACAATAATTCCAAAATTATTACGTGTATTGTTATGTACTGTGGTAAGCTTTTAATAAAACATTCACCTCTATCAGATGTGTTACAAATGTATTTGTAGTCAAGAAATGTCTGTGAATTAATGATGTTAGTCTGACTTAGAGTCTGAGAGGATGGAGTGTAAGGTGATATTCATGTAAAAATTAAAAATACTTTTGTCCATCATACAGTTTGCATATTGCATTGGGAATTCCAAAATACATATCTATAGTTTTTTCAGTATCCCTGTTTATCGTATGATATCCGGTACAAATACGCTTCTATCACGAACTGTCGCTAAATCGGCAGTGTAGGGTGAAATGAATAGTTGATAACTCTGACGTCAAATACAAAATCACATGTCGAATGGTACTCTGTAAAAGGTCGTGGACCCTCGCCCATGTCAATGTTAATAATATTCGAGAAATGAAAGGGAAATTATGTCTAGCCAAAATAATTATTTTTGTTTGATTAAAGTTTTTTTTATTAATTTCAAAATATTTATATCACAGTGACTTCAATTTGAAATTTATTTCTATTGCATGAAAATAAAATTGCAAATTGAATATAAATGTTATATTTAAAGTATGTTGAACTTGAAATTTTATCCTTGCAAGTACTGTATTGTAGTTTTTCACCAATTGTATTTGTGGCAGTGTAAGAAAATGTACTCACCTGTTGAAATTATTTTGAATCTTGTTAAATCTTGCTGAACGGTTGTGAGAGAATTTGTCCAAATTATTCATTTATTAATCTTTAGTATATTATGTGACTATCAATTTATGCATGTATTATATAAATAATTCCAATATTTTGACACTGAAATCTTAACAATTATCTTCAGTTTTTAACTCGGTATGTTTGAACTTGTTATATTAGATTTTTATAAGTACTTTTGAAGTGCATTATCCTTGTGTATATAAACATTGCATTATCCTTGTGTATATAAACATTGTATTATCCTTGTGTATATAAACATTGCATTATCCTCGTGTCTATATAAACATTGCATTATCCTTGTGTGTATATAAACATTGCATTATCCTTGTGTATATATAAACATTGCATTATCCTTGTGTGAATATAAACATTGCATTATCCTTGTGTATATATAAAC